AAAAAAAAAAAAAAAAAAAAAAAGTTAAAGAATCCTATAGAAACATTAACCTGCATTTTATGAAATTTACGTAAAAAAAATATTATTTTTGTTTTATCAGTGTTCTTAGGTATTGGAATTTTTATAAAATATATTTTGAGTATTTGGCTTAGTTTTTACAACTGTCTGATTTTTCATATGATTCTATAAAATAAAATGGACCCATCCCAAATATATGATCATGTTAAACTAAAAAATGAAAATTCAAGATGATCGCGTTATCATTTAGGATTGTGTTTATCATGTAATTGGTATCCTCGATCATGTGAATTAACATATGAAGGTTTTTTTTACAAGATGTGACAATCTTGAAGCCAATACCAAATAATTTTACGCATGATTATATTCAAAATCAATTTGTTGATGAGTCTCTTATGCTGATAAATATAAGTTCAATAATTTATCTCTTTAGCTCGATGTGTGTAATTAAAATAAATGTTTAGATGATTAATTACATCAAAAAGTATATATTATATTGTATTATATTATGACAAAGTGGACAGATGTTTTTATAAAAAAATATGTTGATTAAACAAATAGTCATATCGAGTACAACTTTAATGACAATATTATAAATTTATTATATAACAAAATAATTTTGATGGACAAAGTAATATCAAATATAAAAAAATGCAATCTCTTAGAATAGTATTTTGATTATGATTCATTTCAGAAAATATCTTATATGCACACCAAACACAGCCTATGCCTATATTATGGTGATTCAGTTATCTATTTATTCTGATTTTCGAGATTTGTTATGTAAACAGGAGAATTCTTACAATTTCTTTTAATTTAATATCGTTTTCTTTTGTACAATTTCATTAATTTTCCAACAAATTTGAAGTTTGCTTTATCTTAAGCATTTTCTTAAATATGATAGCTATTTCATTCACATTTTTAAATTTGGGTATTCCACTTTGATATGTAGCTTTACCACATTTTGAGTATCATTATAATACTTGGAAATTTTCTCTTATATTATGGTATTGTTTGCTTGGTGTTTGCCATATAATTTAATTATTTTCTTATAACAATACACTTTAATTTTCGTAGCAGAAGCAAAAAATATATAATTCAATAACCTAAGGGTTTATAAGTATGTGCGCATGATGTATTTTAAATCATGCGCACACACATATACCAATATATGACAAATTGCAAGAAAAAAGTAAAACACAACAAACTATCGCTCTTTGTTCCTTTTATTGAAAAGACAAGAAAACGTGCAATCTCAATAGAAAGGTATACAAGAGAGATCGAGCGACAAGTTAAAGATCAACCAAATTTGACTACATGACTATTTTGAGGAAAAACGTATATAAGATAAGTAATTTTGGAAGAAAATGTATACGTATGTGGCTACTAGTCATGCAATAAGGGTGTGTTTGTTTATAAAATAACTCAATCCATACTCAATTCATACTCAAATCTAACTCAATTTCACTATCCTCAATATTATCTTAACAATAACAATCAATCATTCTTGCATATCAAATCCACTTTAATTCACTATTCATCCACTCACATAATTTTAACTAAGTATCGCTTCACATAATCTCTCTCCTACTTTTACCTCAAATCAATTTTAATTATTCTATTTTAAATATTATTTTAATATAAACCCAGAATCCCACTAACAACTAACCATACACTTTTTTCAAAATTAAGCCTGATCAACCAAAAAACTGGTTTGAACGGAGTATACAAGCACGACCTAAAAATGATTTTTAAGAACGGTGGTTGGAAGATGGTTGAAAATGCTCATATTTTGATAATCAAGAAGTCGAACTATAAAATTTACAACTTAGAAACAAGAAAATAGGATGATTCATTTGGTACTTTTTCAATGTAAGATTTAAAGAACAGTACTTCTCTCCCCAAAATGAGCTTTTTAGCTCTCAATGTGACGTTAACCAATGTATATAGAAACACAACTTCATAAGTAATTTATATAAATTTCCACATTGTAACATGAAGATAATAGTCAGTGTAACGGATTTTTGTGTTACATGTTACAAAAATGGTAATGGAGGCCAAGTGATGATTACCAATTTGGCTTCCAACCTCAACAAATCTAAAACGGATCGTGGTTGCTCTATTATATGTCAAACATGAGTACCAACAACATATAGCATATGCAAAATTCAAATTTAAGATGTTGAAATTCAATGGAAGAATGTGTTTTACCTTACCAAGAAATAGCAGTAAACACTACATAAGCTATTCTCGGATGCTTCAGCTAACAATGTAAACTATCAGACAAGTACAATGTATTTGACAAAAAAATCTAATCCCAGATCTCCGAGAAAAGAAGTTCACAATCCATGGGGCTTCTAAGCTGAACAGGCCATGCTACGGAAAAAGTCAAGTTAACTGGTTTTGCAGTAAACTAGTAGGTTTCTTTAATATTGAGGACTTAAACCAAGCATTAGATTCATTAAACATTTAGAAAATAGGATGAACGTCATATTAGTATTAATGATGTATACGGGAAAAGTCGTGGATTGCTTCCAAAAAAGTCAAAGGCTTACTCTTGCAGTGGATACAGCCAGATTGTAGTAACACAGATTTTTGTTATACTTTATTTTATGGCCTTTTTTTTTCCCGAAGTGAACAACATACCATATCAAATTATCAACACT